ATTGGAAGGAGACCAGGGCACCAGATTCTGCTACACATGCTCTGAAAGTTACGGAAACAATTGTAAAGGATGTAGTCTGTAACACTGGCAAGAAATCCTTCAGCTTCTTCAAGTGTAGGAATAGATTTTACGACAAGGGCTTTCTTAAGAGACACATGATGTGTAATTATGGAAAGATTTCCTTGAGCTGTTTGGTTCCGAAGAAATGTTTGAGAGTGAAGAAAAAGGTGGATTCACAGAACAGAGTCCAAATGGGAGAGAAACGATTTGGATGTGATGTTTGTGGGAAAAGATTTACACTGAAGGGAAATCTGAAGAATCACATGAGAGTTCACACAGGAGAGAAACGATTTGGATGTGATGTTTGTGGGAAAAGATTTACACAGCAGGGAAGGCTGAAGACACACATGATAGTTCACACAGGAGAGAAACCATTTGGATGTGATATTTGTGGGAACAGATTTACACAGCAGGGAAGTCTGAAGATGCACATGAGAGTTCACACAGGAGAGAAACCATTTGGATGTGATGTTTGTGGGAAAAGATTTACACTGAAGGGACATCTGAAGACACACATGAGAGTTCACACAGGAGAGAAACCATTTGGATGTGATGTTTGTGGGAAAAGATTTAAAGTGCAGGGAGATCTGAAGACACACATGAGAGTTCACACAGGAGAGAAACCATTTGGATGTGGTGTTTGTGGGAACAGATTTACACAGCAGGGAAGTTTGAAGAGTCACATGAGAGTTCACACAGGAGACAAACCATTTGGATGTGATGTTTGTGGGAAAAGATTTACACGGATGGAAAATCTGAAGAAACACATGAGAGTTCACACAGGAGACAAACCATTTGGATTGGATGATGTTTGTGGGAACAGATTTACACAGCAGGGAAGTCTGAAGAAACACATGAGAGTTCACACATGATAAAAATGTATCTTTTAACTTTTTTGTGAAAGATGAATTGCCTAAATACGTATGCTGTCAGGAACCACTGCAGTTTTCATTGTCTTATGTTTTCTTCTTTGTTTATAAATGAAAAGAAAGGTGAAATAGGGGGAACAGTAGACCTTCTGTATGAAAGGAAACTAAATCAATGGGTTTGTTTTTTCTTTCTTGGTGTGTTACTGAAACTGTTGTAACATTTTATTTACAGACCCATAACTTTTTGTATTTCCTAGAAATCTGATGAAAGTTACTGATAATAATAATAACTCCCTAAATGATAGTTATCATCGGGAAAGTGTGAACAGTCTTTTTTACTTTTGTCTACAGGTCAGCATTCAGTTTAACATAGTTTTCTTGAAATAAATGAAGAGAAACATCAAACATGTGATGATAGTTTGTTTTATGGTTGTTTCATCAGATAATAAAAACAATCATTCAGGAAATTTCAGACAAGTTATGGTTATTTCAATCCGGAGAGAGTTAATTCGAATTCAACACTAATTTATTATACATGCATAAAATATGAACAGTATTAAAAGTAAAAAAAAGAAAAAGTTGACTTCTGCATTTAACCCATCCATAGCTTATTGGGAGCAGCGGGCTGCTGAGAAGCGCCCGGGGAGCAGTTAGGGGCGTTCAGTGTCTTGCTCGGGTACACTTCGGCACAGGACATGTAGCAGC